TTTTTGAATTATAAAAAAGTTTTATCAGACGAATTAAAAATTCATCCATAGAAAATGTAGAGAAAATAATTGCGGTTTTTTTTTGAGCTATAGAACTCCTAGGAATGTCAAAAACTGAAAGAGGAGATAGATTTTTTCTGTAAAAAACTTTCAAAATGATCATTTTTGACATTTTTTTCTTCCGGAAAAGGACCATACATGAATCTATAACCACTAATTAATTTTTTAAGAATCATTTGAATCATCTTGGAACTCTACAAAATCAGATAAAAAGTTCTGAAATTATGGTTTTAGACCTGCAATTGTGATCGCGCCAAACTTTTTTCTGTAGATCAAAAATTAATTTGCAGTTCGGAAATGTTCTGTGGGAGAGCGTGTAATGCACTAAAAATGTTCAATTTGAATCTTTCAGATGCGAATACGTTCGAGCTACTTTCGCGTTTAAGTGTAGTTTTTTGCTGAAAAATAGATTCTAGAGATGCTGGCGATCATTTTTATACCAAGAATTCAAAATTTTGTTCAGAAAATCCCACTAAATTCACATAAATAAATTTGTTATCTACAGTATCCGTTTCCGCTCCGCCCCCTCGTAAATCGATACGAGCGCCGTCTCTGAGATTTTCAGGTGTCACTTTTTTTAAAGGAGGGTAGACATCAAAAATTTCAAAATTTTCATTTTTACTCAAAAGATATAACTCTGAAGTATAAATATAGCTATGTACTTAAAAACCTGAAAAAAACGCTTCAAGGACGAAAAAATGCTCTTTTTTGTCACCCTAATTTCTTCACTAGCCTGCTGCTGCGACGTCGCTTCATAATGTGAAAAACGCGATGGTCGCCTCTTACACGCGTAGTGTAGTGGGTACGCTCTAGGCTAGTATTCAGGAGGTCAGAGGTTCAATCCCTGCTGGTGTTTTTACTTTTTTCTTCCCTTGTTTCCTTCGGATTGAACTTTTTGAACTCGGAATTTCTGAAGGGCTACCAGCGTGCCGCCGAGGCCTCGCTCCGAGGTATCAAAATCAGTTGAAAATGAAGAAACGTGTTTTATTATGTTAACAAATAAATTATGAAAAAAACTACAATTAATTTTTAGAAAGAGACATAACAATTGAAAGAAAAACCACATAATTAAAACAATCCTCGTGCAGGGCTGGTCGTCGGAAGGTGAAGGAAGCAGTAAAAATGGAGACGTCTCTGAAAACCCCAGTCATAAAACAGTTTTTTATTCCTAGAGTAATAACGAGAAGTAATGAGATAAATAGGAACAGTGAAGAAACGGTTATCGAAGAGAAAATAGTTTTTTCGCATGCCTATAAAAACACCGGTGACTGGAAAAATAATCGGTCGATAGAACTTTAAATTTACATTAAAAAAATTCACTTTTATATGGGTTTTATAATAAATAAGAAAAAAGAGCTTTTTTAATGTTTGAAGTCTTAAAAATTGAAAAAAATAAAGTCGGGAAATAAAAAAATAAAAATGTTTGCGCGTGAGATTGCGCGCTTTAGGTGCTAACACCGCGACGGCAAAATACACATTCCCTGAAATTTTCCCCGAAATTTTTGCTGTCTGCCCTCCTTTAATCCGACAATATTGTCGAATTAAAACAAGTGGGACCTGAAAATTTGAAAATCGTAGCTTTTTTTGATCTACGAAAAAGTGCGGCAAAAACGTAATATTTCAGATTTTCGCCCCTCGTTCGAGCTACTTTCGCAATTAAGTTCGGTTTTTCGATGAAAAACAGATGCTAGAGATGCTAGCGATCATTTTCATACCAAGAAATCTAAATTTTGAAAATCCCACTGGATTCGCAGAAATAAGTTTCGTTTACTACGGTAGTGATTTTGAGGCAAGGCCTAGAAAATTGACTTTGAATCCGCCCGCGAAATTTTCCAGGTCCCACTTTTTTTCAATTCGACAATAAATAACATATTGTCGGAATAAAAAAAGTGGGACTCTATGACTGCTGGCTGTTGATGAATCCTGTACTTACAGCGATCGTTTTTTTGGCTTTTTTATTGTGCGAATTCCCGCGCATTTCAGCTGCTTGGTGTTTGCGGACTCAGAAGAGAAAAAATTATTTATTTTTCTATTTTTCAAGAAAGACAATAAAAAACAAGAAAAGTGGGTAATGTGTTGATTTTCAAAGTTTTTCTGCTATTGTAAACGAACGGAAAATCAGTTTAATATGTAATCAGATACTCCAAATGCTCTGTTTATTTCTCCTCTATCGTTGCACAATAATTATTCATTCAGAATGGGTAGTTTTCCGCAGTTTGGAGCTTTTGTTCTTCGAGCACAAGAAAAAACCGGAAGAACTTGCATCAATGGCTTGCCAGTGGCATCTCCTGCGAAACAAATGCTCGGAAGGTGAGAAGCTTCTTCCTGTATTTATTATTTCCATTCTCTCATTTTTAACAGGTTTCCATACTTGCAGTCCATTCGACATGA